CATGCATTATAAGCGTCTAGAAATAATGTTGGAGCTGCCTTTATGATGGTTTTTAAGGCTAAATTAGGGATTCCGTCCAATCCCGGCGCTTGTGTGTGTATGACTCGCTTATAACTTTTGAACAAATGAACCGATCGGACCGAACTAAACGGCGTTCTAAAGAGTTCCCTTGAACTTAGATTTCCTGAGAATTTGAACCGATTCGGACCGATAGATTTTAAGAAATCTTGAAAAATCTCAAAAAAAAAATAAGAAAAAAATCATTTTTAAAAGTGGTTTTTTAGGAATATCTTTTAAACGGCTCTATCGATCAACTTCAAAAACTAATCTGCCCTTAAGCTTGAAAAACCACGCCGATCGTCGCAAATCCGGTCAAAATCGGTTGATTCGTTCGAGAGATAGCGTGAACGAAAGAAAACCGAAAAAAGTGTTTTTTCGGGATTACTCCGAAATTTTTGGTTCGATCAATGAAAACCTGAAAAAAACTTATGAGGATGATAAAACTGCGTCGAATGCCGCCAACTCCTTGAAAATTAGTTGATCCATTCAAAAGTTATTGCGGTTTGAAAATTCCAAAAATAGTGTTCTATGAAACTTCTATCAGACTTTTGAGCTGGGAAAGCTCAAATGCATAAAAATATTATTTCTTTAAACTCAGTGAGCTCAAAATATCACATAAATTATATTTTGAGCTCAAAAATCTTTAAAATTTCATAAGTACAATTTTAAGCGCCCAGGAATGGAACTAGCGGGAAGTTGCAGGGATGGCCTTTAGGGTGAACCGTTTTTCTAATTTTTTTTTAATGATTAAATTCAGAAATAAAAGAATCAATTCACGAAGGACTTCTATTTACGTGGTCCTGCAAAGTTTCATGATTTTTCATTCTGTCAAAAAGTGTCCAGCATCATGTTCAAAATTTAAATATTCACCTGTCCTACCTGTCCTACATGTTCTTAAATAAAAAAATTAACTTCAGTATACATCCGGAAGTACTAGCTTGCTCTTGATTCAGATTCCGTAATGAAATTTAAGTTCAATTTTAAAAAATCACTACTCATAGGAAAAAATATCCAAATTGTAATGAGAGAAATTATTTATAATTCTTAGTTAATACTTCACCAAAAGATATGTGTTAATTATATTTGAAACAGTCTCGTTTGATAAATTCGAAATAAATACATGCCGTTACCAAAAAACTTTTCGAAAAGTTGCTTTGAAACTATCTTCGTTTAAATTTTCTTTTGTGCAAGTATTTAAAGCTCAATAACTTTTTACTCCTTAAGATTACGAATAAACTACCTTAGTACTTTTTTGTAGAGAATTAAAGTTCCTACAAGAATAATTGACGAAAAATACGAAAAAAAAATTTTTTCATAGTTTTACCGGATAAAAACGTAAATAAAATTTTTTTACGTGTTATTTAAATGGGAATAAAAAAATTCATTGAACTTCATGAAGAATTGAGATATCAAGCTGCGCTTTGGAGAGAATTTTTTTTATACCTTAGAGAAGCTTTTAAGATGATAGGCAAAAAACTTTTTTTTTTTGGACCACTCTAATAAATACATAACTAATGGAGGGTAGAGTTGTTCGCGTCCGTAGGTTCTGCTTTTACACCCTACACGTGCTCTCCGGGTAGTGCCAAATGAACAACACCAACAACGATATGAAAATGTCCCAACAATTTCAAACATCGTCTACGGTGCAGAGGGGGGATACCTCAATACCGGCGAGGAAAGCGTACAAACGGGCCCGAACTTGTCGTTATCAAGCGACCGTTTGAACAGTGGAGTGGACCCCATGGCTCTGCTGTTTAGCAATGAACAAAAGGTCTGAACAAAAAATCAAACTCGTTTTTGGTCACCCCTGAGGAATCCCAGCATGGAGAAGAAAACAACAAGAAGAGGCCGCTGTCTACGCCCAGCCCTTCCTCAGAAAACAAGAAACCAGCACAGAAAAAGCCAGCCCGGGGCGATACCTGGACTAAAGTGACTGGGCAAAAGAAAAGGAAGGAAACAAATCAGGAGCCAGCGGCACAATCTAGTGAAACCCAAAACCAACCAAGTACGGCTGGCACTACGAAACCAAGGAGAAAGAAGACAAGAACAAAAGCTGTCCTTGTCCAACTAGCCGAAGGGCGAACATACGCCGATCTCCTTAAGGAAATTAAGGCCAAGCTAAGCCCTGTCGAAACAGGCGTAGACATAAGGTCTATCAAAAAGACGAAACATGGAGGCGTTCTTCTTGAAATGTCTCGAAAGACCGAGAACAGTAAGGCATTCACCGATGCAGTAAAGTCAGCTACTGCAAACATCGGCACGGTCAAGACGCTAATACCAACAGCAACGATCGAGATCCTCGACCTGGATGAAATCTCTACCGAAAGCGAAGTCCGTGAAGCACTCAAACGTGAATTTACTGACAGCCTGGAAGTTAAACGGGTAAATTTGACAAAGCCCACACCACGAGGTAATCGGGCAGCCTTCTGCAAACTAGACGAGCCCAGTGCGATTAAGGCCCTTGACAAGGCCCTTGACAAGGCCCGTATATGGATCGGTTTGGTGAACTGTCGTATACGCCCAGTAGTAAAAGTAACACGTTGTTTTAAATGTCTTGGTTATGGACACCAAACACGTCAGTGTGTGGGACCAGACAGAAGCAAGTGCTGTTACAAATGTGGCGGAGAGAACCACAAGGCCGTAAACTGCACGGAGAAGCTGAAATGCTTCCTTTGATTCCTTTGATGCCTTGGACAAAGATGGTCAGGATAGTCTGTGCCATATTTCTGGCACTGGAGCTTGCAAGGCATTCTGCAAAGCACTTGCAGAAGCCACGAGAGGTCAGAAATGACACGCATACTACAAGGCAACCTGAATAGGTGCGCCTTGGCGCAAAACCTGCTGCGCCAGCGTGTTTTTGAAGATAAAATCGACGTCTGATTTATCTGCGAGCAATATCTAAACATTGAAGGCAAAACATGGTTCGCAGATAAAACGGGCACGGCAGCAATTTGGATTGTGAACACAAAGAACGTTACCGTCAACAACAGCGGAAGTGGAGCAGGTTTTGTCTGGATCCAAACCCCCACAACCTACTTGATGAGCGTCTATCTCTCACCTAACGAAGGGATTAGTGTGTTCCGACAGAAACTGGCAAATATAGAAGATGCGGTCACCAAGTTCGACGGTGAAGTTATCGTAGCCGGAGACTTCAACGCTAAATCGGCTGAGTGGGGCGCTGCTTTCTCCGACACCAGAGGAAACGAGGTCACTGACGTCGTGGCTAGACTCGACCTCATAGTGCTGAACACCGGAAGCACCACGACCTTTAGAAGACCAGGGTACCAAGAATCCATCCTCGACATCTCATAGGCGACTCCAAGGATTGCCAACATGATCAAAGACTGGATAGTATCCGAAGAATACAGTGGCAGTGATCACCAGTTCATGACATTCAGCGTTGGATTGGCATTTGCTCCGGTTTCACAACGCGACAATTCTAAGCGGAAGTGGAATGTCAAGAAGCTCGATCCAGAGGCACTGCGAGCTTCACTTGCAAAGAGCTGTTCTACCCTACAGAACAACCCGACTCCGGATACTCGCAGCGAGACAGAAAGGACAGTGCTAAATATAATGAAGGAGATTTCTGCCGCATGTGACGCCTCTATGCCACGATTGAAAAACCGGAGTTTTCACAGGCCGGCGTATTGGTGGTCAACAGACATAGCAAAACTTCGCAAAATATGCCATCAACTACGTCACCGCGCAACAAGAGCCGCAAAACGCTCCCCAAGCCAGGACATGTATTCAAAAGAGTACAAGCAGGCCAAAAAGACGCTAAACCAAGCCATCAAAGCAAGTAAAGCAAAGTTGTAGAAAGAGATCTGCAACGATCTCGACAATGACATCTGGGGTAAAGCCTACCAAATTATCGCCAAACGACTTGGAAAGGCTTTACCAAAAGCGCCGAAGTCTCCAGCCTTAATGGATAGCATCGTAGCGGAGCTTTTCCCCAAACACCCGCCGCGGGAGAAGAAACACTACACTAAAAACAACGAAGTAACACCCTTCACAACCAAGGAACTACAAGACGCGGCAGAGTCACTCAAAACAGGAAAGGCACCTGGACCTGATAGCATCCCGGCATCGGTGATTAAGATTGTAGCCCTGGAATACCCAGAATTACTCCTGAACACCTACAACGCATGCTTAGCAACTGGCAAGTTTCCCGCGGTCTGGAAACGGCAGAGATTAGTTCTCTTAGACAAAGGTAAGGGAACCCCCATAACACCTTCATCGTTTAGACCACTCTGTATGCTGGACACT